TCTGAAGAGGTGGAACTTAATCACAACTTAAGAGGAATTTGGCTTAAGAGGTAAAACCTAATTACCCTGATTGTGAGGCTGAGAAAGAATGGGCTGAATTACTATGGAGAATAGGAAGTACTTCTGCACAAGTAGGGCTTTCCAGGCTACTGACCTGAAAGTCATGTTATTGTTCTGCTAATAAATGAAATTCTTGTCCATTCACTTATAAATTTCTTTGGATAGCCTTTAATATATTTTTGTATGAATATGACAAATTGTTCCCTTATTTCCTATTTTCTCAATAGCTACCTTGTCTCTTTTATAACTTTTGATTAATCTCTAGCTACACTGATATTTTTAGAGCAATTTTCTTTCTTAAAAATCCAAAAAGTAGTTATATTTGTTCAATACAGTCATTCTATATATCTGGACACTATAGAAAATTATTCATTAATTTATCTAAAATAATGAGCATGTATGTTACCATTCATCCAAATCTGATTTTAATACTTTTTAAAAATAAGGCTTATGATAGTCTGCTTTTGTTGAACACTCATTTTGATTGAAATAAATTAGTGTGCATTCATCACTAGATTTCTTGAGACAGAGTAAGCAATAAAGTCCTGATGTACAGTTCCCTAATCTTCATCCAATTTGGTCTTGCTTTAGTAAAAAGTAAAGAACATGGGCTTATCAATAGCCTTGATTAGTTCTTTCATGAGAGTTCATTTGGAAAATAAAAAGTTGTAAGTGGGGCATGAAATCTCATTTGGAGATGGCTGAAAGTATTTTACTTAATACAATTGAACACTATAATCACTATTTGATTTTTAATCTGTATTTTATATCTCATAACAGAAATATTTTATCTTTAATTGTAGGTGACAAAAATGTTCATATCCTATCTAATAAAATAGTAATATGCAAATTGACCATACTTCTGCCATACTCACAAGCCACCCATCAGCCAATCAAGAGTGAGTATGCAAATCAATCCAATCAAGATAGTTGTTGCCATGGAGCTTCATCAAGCAGAAGGCTTGGATTTCCCTAGCAATCGAGGAAGCCAAGCTTCCCTGCCTCCCTGGCCGGCCCAGGCCTACACTCAAAGCTACAAAGTTTCAGTTATAGAAGATAAATGAATTCCAACAAAAATGGCAGTAGCCATGGAACTGGAGAGAGCAGAAAGCTTGAGTTGCCTAGCTTTCTGCACACCCTGGCAAGCCCAGGCCTCCACTCAAAGCTACAAAGTTTTAATTATAGAAGATAAATAAATCCCAGATACCAGGGCCTCTGCTTGGGGTGCTGGGGGGGCATGGTCAGCTGCAAGCCACCAAAGGCCCCTCACCCAGGCTGCCCCACACCCCAAGGGAACCCCCACCCTGATCCAGGACTCCCTTCAGGGCAAACCAGCTGGCCCTCACCCATGCAAAAGGCCTCTATCCTATCTAATAAAAGAGTAAATGCAAATTGACCATCACTCCAACACATAAGATGGCTGCCCTCATGTGGTCAAAGATGGATGCCCCTATGTGTACACAAGATGGCAGTGACAAGTTGGCCAATTGGGGCAGGTAGTTGGGAGGGACCAGGTCTGCAAAGGAGGGCAGTTGTGCCCAATCAGGCCTGCTGGGAAGGGAGGTTGGGGGCTGGAGGGACCCAGGCCTGCAGGGGAGAGCAGTTAAAGGCAAATAGGCTGGCAGGGGAGCAGTTAGGCATCAATCAGACTGTCAGGGGAGTGTTTAGGGGGTGATCAGGCTGGCAGGCAGAAGCAGTTAGGGGCAATCAGGAAGGTAGGCAGGCGAGCAGTTGGAGCCAGCAGTCTTGGATTATGAGAAGTATGTCCGACTGCCCATTTAGGCCTGATCCTACCTGGATTCTGCCTAAATGGTCATCCCTCGAAAGGTACCTGACTGGAGAGGGTGCAGGTTGGGCTGAGGGACACATACCCTGTGCACGAATTTCATGCACTTGGCCTCTAGTATATAATAAAGCTTTAACAATGAAAGTGACATTATGCTATATGTATATATATATATATATATATATATATATATATCTTTTTCAACTGATTTTCAAAGAAAGTAAATTATACTCTTTATTAAAAAATTTTACTAGTGCTTTGAGGTAAAATACTGTAAAGGATAGATTTTACTAAAAATAAAATAATATAGTTTATGAAATTAAAATTATAATATACATGATTATAAATAAATGTATATAATACAAATATAAATATAAAAAAATCAACAAGTATTAGGACAATAAGCATATCTTCTGCTTTATAAAAATGAACAGTGTGAACAAGCATTTAATAATTTAAATATTTCATTTTGGTGATAAAACTTTCTGAAGAGGTTATAAAATGGTATAAAATACCTCTAGCTATTTTTCAATTGCTTCATTTTCTATACATTTTAAGAAGAGAATGAAGACAAAATATAATATTTACAATTTTAATAAAATGATTGCTTTATAATTTTAATACAACATTAGCTAAGAACAAATCTCATTAGGAGGTTTTGAACAGGAAAATAAATGGACTATTCTATTATTTATATCATATCTATAATCTATCTATCTATCTATCTCTCTATCTATCTATCTATCTATCTACCTACCTACCTATGTATCATTTAGGATACAGATCCTATTACCTACATTAAATGAAGTAGACTTTGTCTATTGATGCCTTTTGGTTAATTACATCTTTGTTATACTAGAGACAATTGTGCCAGTATATAGTGTCTTCTTCTACTGAACTTTAAAATCTTGAGCTGAACTTAACATTTTCCATGGGACTTACTAAGAAGAAAAAGAGAAAAAGGGAATTTAACACTCCAATAGAATTTGGGATATTTGTATATTTTATGGAAATTAGAGATCCTGGTTCTTGAATCTTTAATTCTAAATTCTCCCAAGCCACTGGGTTCCACAACTTTTATTTCTGTCAGTCTTTGAAAAGAGAGGTGTGTGCAGAGTGAAAACTAATTTCCCTAATAGCTTTAGAAACACTGAAGTGTTCTTAATAACTCTGGAGGGAACACAAAATCCTGTGATTACCAAGAAGAATAAAGTTTCCAAAATTCTATCTATTTCTCTATGGTCAGTTGAGGGTGTGACTTATTTTTAGATAATTGAGGCAAGGTTTCTTTTTTTATAATTCTTTTTCTCCTATCCATGAACTTGATGCATGAGTATTAAGGCTAGCCAGTGAGGGAAAAAGAAATAGTGATTTGCTAAATGAAACCTGCCCCACATCCCAAGGGAATTTGGGGTAAAAAAGCCGCAATATTTGGATAAAAAAATAACAATCAATTGGAAATCAGCCAAGGTACTTGACAAATAAGTTTGCTTATTTATAGGAGTTTCTACAAAATAGGAAAAGGGAAGGGTTAGACAGCTTTAGAACCTTGCTCCTCATATGCCACTCACCTACCTCATACATAAATGCATTTGCTGTTATCAGTCCAAAACATATTTCAATTATTCTTTTTTTCAATTTTTTTTTTATTGATTAAGGTATTACATGTGTCCATATCTCCCCATTTTCTCCCCACTCCACTCCCATACATGCTCTAGTCCCCCATTGTCTTGCGCCCATTGCTTGTGCTTATATGAATGCATGTAAGTCCTTTGGTTGATCTCTTACCTCCCCCTCCCTCCCAGCCATCCTGCTATAATTTAACAGTCTGTTCGATGATTCTCTGCCTCTGTATATATCTTTTTATTCATCAGGTAATAATCTTATTTATTATCCATAAATGAGTGAGATCATGTGGTATTTAACTTTCACTGACTGGCTTATTTCACTTAGCATAATGTTCTCCAGTTCCATCCATTCTGCTGCAAATGGTAAGAATTCTTTCTTTCTTAAAGCAGCATAGTATCTCATTGTGTAGATGTATCATAGTTTTCTTTTAAATTTAAAGCCAGTTAATTCAATCTGTCAATGTCCTCAAGTCTAATATAAAAATAGTCATATTTGGAATAAATCCTTTTTTTTTTCCCTTCCATTTTCTGAGTTACAGAAGAACCACAGAAAGAAACCAACATTGTTATTTATTGAAGTGCACAATTTCATCTAATTCATTATTTTCATGAGGACTTTGCCACTATGTACTTAACAAATAGTTCATCAATTAAAATTTATAGCAGCACTACTGGAGTTTGAACAGACTGGGTTCAGTTTGCTTTTTCTCTTTCAGCTTTATCCACACCACTTGCCACCAAAATTTTTGGGTATCCTCTAATAATCCATCAACAGTTGGACATCCTTATTCTTTTTAGGAACTTTAATACTAAAAACAAATACAAAGCACATAAAGTCTATAATATTTTTGTTAGAACTATTAGAGTGATTTCATTAAAAAATAGTTAAAATCTATCCTCAAATCACACAGTTAAATAATACCTGTTAAGAAAGGCAAGCAAAATTTCAGCACAAAATATCTGCCTGAATGATCTCAATATTATTAGATACTTATGCAATCTACACTTACAACTTCAAATATGCAAATATAGCATTTCAATGATTAGGTCTGCACAATTTAAACAAAGGGATTTCAATGATTAGGTCTGCACAATTTAAACAAAGGGATGCCTTGAAATAAGTGAATAATTTGGGCAAAGAGCACACAATTGCCTGAAGCAGAAACATGAACTGAGAAAACAAGAGTATTATAATTTGAAGTAGCAATTACCGGTACTTGCAGTCTTCATTTCAGTATGCATGGTCAGTTTCTAACTATTAGGTTTGTTGATTTTTTGGCATTAACCAACCACATAAAATCATTATAATCACCACATACACACATACACACTAATACAATTCTTATCTATTAGTTGTAGTAACTGAGGTAATAGGTAGACTTAATAAAAATTATAGTTTAAATTTGGTAGCAATAATGCATAAATATTTTATTTTGAACCAATTCCAACAATCACTGAATTTTTACTAGTAGAAGATTACATTTGTTGCCTTGCCTCCCAATAGAAACATAAAAAATTGTACTTACACTGAACAATGAGCTGCACCAAAGCTTCTCTTGGTTTCACATTAAATCCATTGTATTGGCTGGTCTGACATCTGTACATTCCTGACATTTCCCTAGATACATTCACAATCCTCAGTGTTCCATCATAACTCTCCATTTGCATTGACCCATCAGGCATTGCAACTTCTTTATCCGCTCTAGACCAAAGGATGATGGGTTTAGGTTTTCCAGTTACTTGACACTGTAGTTCTATTGTGTCTCCTTCTCTGGTGACCAAAGGTGATTTTTCCTGTGGAACAGTCAGATTGGGTGGAACTTGAAATGGGAAAAAGAAAATTTTTCAAGGTTAGTATAAACTGGTAAAGCATATTCAAACACAGAAAATCATAAGAAAACAATTTCTGCTGGTTGAAGATGTGTGACAATTCAGATGACAAACATTACAGAAATCTTTGGAATAGGTGGTAAACACCATCAGTTGACATTATTCTGATTTGTTTTTATAGAACTCTCTTGAGTGAGGTCTTCCAACAGTAGCAAAATAAATAAAGCATTAAGTTATGCTTAAAATGGTCAACATAAGAAAAATCTATTCAATGACTTGTCATTATCAACCATTAATTGGGCACTTAACATTTGTATTTCACAAAAGAATGATCCTGCCTTCTGAGGTTTCACGTTTTCAGTTTTCCTATGATGTTATCTCTTACCCAAGGATGGTATAAGAAAGGGTATGGTATATTGTAATTTAGCAGGCACAGTAAACACAAGTAGTAGGAAAGGGAAAAGAAGAATCTTTGTTATACAATTAAAAGTTTTGACTGGTTTAGAAAACCTTGCCAAATTGCTAAGGTTTAAGGTTTGCTTTTTCCCTTATGGACATGAGATGGAACAATTCACTACAATACCACACTGCAAATCCACTGTATTTTTCTCTTTTGAATTTCTAATATTTTTGAGATTTGAATTTCCTCATATACTTTCATTTTAAGACACCTTGAGATCACTGTAGTTTGTCACACTGTTGCCACTATTTTGGTAATATTAATTTTAGGTATATTTTCAAAAGTAAATTTTAATAATATAAGAATTGCAATTTTTGAAGTTATGCTAATTTCTGATTTTACTGAAGATATTTATGAGAAAATTAGGTTGATTTTTGTGGATCTTAGCTTTATTGCCCCAGGATAAATATGTTATGGTTTAGGATACAACATGAACTAACGAGAGGAAAGTACTGCCTACGGAGCTCACTCACAAATAAAATCACCTGTTCTATTGGAAGACTTTTGCAATGTATATGAATTCAAATGTATTCTTGCAATAAAACTTCTATCAAAAAGCATGGGATAAATTAAATGCCAGAATAAAAATAAACATAAATATATGAATAATTCTATCCTTCTGATAAATGTAATATGCTTCCTTTGGAGAGAATTGCATTGGGGTAAAAAGGCAAAGATTTCATTTTCCCTTCTAGCATCACTGTGCTCCAACGCCCAAGAACAAAAGCAAACATAATTTAAAAATTATACTTCAACTAATGTGGAAATGTCTTTCTCACACAGAAAATAAATTCACATCAAAGTGATATGATAATTTATTATCTTGCTACTTAAGTATCTTTGTGCATAATTTTTTCACTTACTTCCTTCATTTACTTCTTATCTTAAAAAAGAAGTAAAATAAAAAAGTAGTTAATAATGGAAATCAGAAAATATGGAACATTAAAACATTAATCATGATCTTCTTAGAATAGATATATACAGACTAAGAATTGCCATTAACAAAGCATATGTTTTATGGTTGCATTTAAAATAATATATGATTAAATAATTTAATTTAATAAATTATTCTTGTAAATATAAACAATTAAGTGATTTTGTTAAATTATTCCTTTAGTAAACCAAAAGAAATGATGCAATTCTCTTCTAACAATAGGATCAAAAAGAAACCTCAGTGTTTACACACCCTGCATGAGAAACCACAAAGGACAATAACAATATCTCAGCATTCAACATTAATGATGTTCCTACTTTGTAATAGACACTTTTTTTTTTACATTTTCAGTTAATTCCTTTGATAATTCTAAGAATCAAGATGAGAAGATGAATACTTTGAAAAAAATTCAAACTGAGGCCAACTTATAACAAGTGAACAGTGTAGACACCTGACACCTGAAGCAGGTTCCAGTAAACCGTGGTGTCTGAAATGAATAATCTGCCTTAGCACTGGAGTCCTGTTCACAACTGCTCTGCTCCGATGGACAAATTGGACTAATTGCCCCTGCCCATCTCTTGATCATTAGTCCAGGATCAATAAAAAGTGAGAAGGTAGAAATGTGAGAGTGATATTGACACATATTTTTCAAATTACCTTACCTATTTTATATTATACATCTATTTCTACCTTATATTTTTATGTCTAACTATAATAGAATGTTTCACAAAATATAAAGCCAAACTGCTTTTAAGATCTACCAAAGTCAATGGACAAATTTTGATAAATCTATGTGAAATAAATGAAAATAAGTGATAAATTAAGGGATTATTTAATGGAGTGTCATTTCTTCCAAAATCAAGCCAAATGACATAGGCCAAGTTTAACCACTCTGAGTACTAATTTCTTCACTTTTGAAACTAAAAATTTGCACTTTATTAGCTCCAAAATTTTTAACTGTTGACAATAAAAACAAACAATAAAAATTTAATTATAGAAGTACTGCTAAATGAAAGTGTTTATTTTCTACCTTAACAAAATGGATATTCAAAGATCTTATTACATTAGGCCAGTGGTCAGCCAATAGAACCAAATATCAACAGTACAACGAAGAAGATTTCTTTTGAAAGCCAAATTTTTAAAACTTAAACTTCTTCTAACGCCACTTCTTCAAAATAGACTCTTCCAGGCTGTGGTATTTTATAGAAGAGCCACACTCAACGGGCCAAAGAACTGCATGTGGCTAGCGAGCCTCATTTTGCCAACCACGGCATTAGGCCATTCTAAATACTACATAAACCCTTGACTAAGTATGTTTTATAAATTTATCATGCTAAATAGTTAAGAAACTCCTTTTAAACATTTGTTTGTTATGCATTTATTTAGATAAAGTTTTCTCCTATGTATTCAAAATTACAGAAATGTAAACCTCAGTTTTAATCTAAGTAACTTGAAAACAAATTTTACATAAATTAGCCTAGTTTTTGCTAAATAGCAAAATCTAATTAAAATATAGTTTATTTTCTTTATCTTCCATGAGGCTTTTTAAATCTTGAAATTGGAGTTAATATTTTCTCCACAACTTTCTTGGCCAAGAAAGTTTATGACTTCTAAAGTTCTTTTAGTGCTTTTCTCTCAATATCCACATTAAATATTCCATTCTCTACAATTCTATATTCAACCCTCTTAATTATTACTATATTTTTTCTGTTATGAGATCTAGTTTGTTCTCACAAATTTATATATTTTATATGTTAATAATATGAATTCCAACATTAGCCCAAGAACCTTCCAATTTATTACTACAGCATAGCATTTTTATACTCTAAAGCCTTTCAAATCTCCAAACCTAGGCACCATTTACTTCTTGACATAGTTGGTAGGTAATTATCAACACACTTATTCAGATAAAGACCATAACATTTCCTTTGTTTTACCATTTATTTTTGCTCACCACTTCCTATCAACCACTTTTCTTTCTCTATCAAAAAAATATCCCATGTCTGCCTATTTCATGGTTGTAGGTAGATTTCTTGGTAGAAGTCGTCATAGTCTCTTCTTGTGACAATGTCCTAATTGGCCTCTTTGTCACCAGTCTAATTCATCCAGGCTTCCTGTTATTTAGTCATAAAGTTTATTATAATAAATGCTATTTTGTTCATGTCACTATGAAAACTACAAACCTCAACAAGAGTGTTAATACTAATCCTGCTTTACTAAAAAAATAAATAAATTGAGAACAGTCTGATGGATGTGTTAAGTAAATAGTGGTACTACCACACAATAAAATATGATACAATATTTTAATGAAGACATAATAGACCAATATTTATCAAGAAACTAGTAAATAGTATGAACAGCTATAAGAACTATTAATAAATGAGTAAAACATGGTACTAAAAAGTGTAAACAGTAGTGTCACATCTTTATAAATATAAAGTCTCATGCTAATGAATGTTAACAGCGATTGTCTTAAAGGAGAGGGTATATAATAATATGATTCATCTTTATATTGTTAGCATTCAGCACTCTAACTTACACATAGTAGAAACTCAGCAAAAATGTTTACAGCAAATGTACAATTAAAGACAGCAAGCAGTTGGCCCAGAGTCACAGAAGAGGAAAAATCTAGAGGAAAAGGAAGCCCAGAAAAAAAAAAATACTCCAAAATACTAACAATAATTCTCTCTGAGTGTGAGATTATTGATAATTTAATTTTCTCTGAATATTTCCTATATTTTTCATTCTTTTATAATATGCACAATGCATATAACATATTTGCATTAAAATGTTAATGCAACCTGTTTTTCAATGCTCATCCGATGAAAACTTCACTTTTTAATAACACAAATGTATCACTTTGAACATGGTGTCCTAGACAACATTGTCTGAGAAACGCTCCTCTATAACACTCCTATAACACTCATTCACATGTGGTTTCACCAGCCAGTGAACTTCAGTGCTCTTCAATAAGCAGTTTTTTCTCTGTTCAGCATATACTCTAGCACTCCTTGCCTGCCCCAGGTGTTGAGATTTAGATAAAATATTACTAAATTCAAAGATAAATTTATCTACTTATGGGCTGAGGTGGTTGTTCACTCTGCTGGACCGCGTAGGACATTGTAGACCCTTTTAACCTGTATTTGTGGCTTTGCCCTATATTTTCTCCCATGTTTATATCTCTGACGAGATAGCTCCTTGAAATCACAGAGTGTTTTATGTTATCTCTGAAATCTGACGCCTGCTTTCCTACTTGGCACAATCTAGGAAGCCACAAAATAATTGATGAAGGAAGTGGAGTAGAAACAGAGAGAAAGGTAAGGAGGTAAGAAGATAAACAACTATAAATGTAATAGGAATAAACGTAATAGATAAAAATCATAAACATTTTATAACAGAAGTGATAAATAACAATAAATGTAGTAATTATACAATTATAAGCCCATACAAATGCCAGAATCTTCTGCAAAATATATTGTTAGTATAGATTTTGGATGCAGTAGACCTTGATATATGTGAGGATGTATGTGAGAGCTAAGAGACTCATAAAAGGGATCTTTTTTTACAGTTTTCCTTTACTTTCTCTTGCATTTAAA